GTTTCATGGAACTCTTGGTAAATTCCAATTCAATTTGCAATGGGTCATTTTATTATTACACAGTTTATTTAAAAATATTCACCAACCAAATGAATAAATTTAGCAAATAAACATGTAAAACATGTTCCTGAATGAATAATTTATTTGTGCTTGGCTAATGCACATGTGAAGCTAGTTAGCCTTAGCAATTTTTCCCTACAGCAGCTCTCTGACGGTTTCAGACAAGAACACTGATGTGATCTACAGCTACACYGTCACAACTCACAGATAAGACAGACTTTCATGCACACAGGTCAGTCCTGAGTAACAGGAAGTGGTGAAATAAATTCATATGTGTGGCAGTTCTGTTTTTAAACTAAGTAGTGAAATAAATTCAGACGTGTGGCAGTTCTGTTTTTAAACGAAGTAGTGAAATAAATTCAGATGTGTGGCAGTTCTGTTTTTAAACCTTGGGTTCTGAAGGAGCAGTGTTGCTTTTGTCCACGTGGACCTGATCCTCACTCACACAGACTCTATGTGGTCATAGGAGGGTCTTTAATGAGTGAGTGGCTCAACCACTGAAGAAAGGTAAAGTTTTCAAACTGTTTGCTGAATATTTCTGGTTTTCCAAACAAGTGTTTTTGACCCCTGCTGGCTGTAGTGAAAACTGCAGTGATCCAGGTGGAGACAGGTGCACCTCCTCACTCACCTGCTTAAATGTTGACCACTCACAACACCTCATCTGCACAAAACCAAATCAGTTTCAGAGTTCAGACATTAGTTACAATATACAATTACTTACTACATCTACTGCAGCATCATCCCTAGCTATTTGTTTATTTGCTTTTTATGACATTAGATCTAATAAATATGATTTTGGTCTGTGAGAGACAACTAAAGTACCTGGAGAAAACCCACTCCTGCATGGGGAGAACATGTAAACGCAAGCCAGAAAGTTGATGTAGCAAACTTCTTTTCAGAGACAAAATGTTGCTCTACCATCTGTGCCACTGTGCTGCCTAATTTTATATTTATTATATAATCATTTTAATTATTTAATTAATATTTAATTGAAAATATATCAATGAATATAACCTCCTGAGAGCTTCCATCTTTAATTGAGAACATTGGGCCTCATGCAAGAATGTTCGTACGCACAGATTTGTTCTTAAATTGTGCGTACG